ACAGGCTTGATCCACCACTTGTTGAAGCTTCTGGCAAAACTCCCATTCACCCCAATGGTGCTGAATTAGTCCTATTGTCTAGTATAATAAGCCCCAGTGAGTTAATCACTTAAAAAAGAGGAATATAGTGAGTGGTTATGATACCATAGAAATAAAGGATTGTTTAAAGGACATGGTGAAATAACAACACAAAATGTTTTGGCCTGTGCAATATAGACAAAGGGTTACTTGAGAGTTAGGGGAAACTGGAGCCAATATGAATAAAAGATGAAGTGGTGGGAAGGGATATATAATTATGGTTCTGTAATATTTCCACTTTCCTTTTCACTTTAGCTAGCCTCCCTTCACCTATTATTATCAACCCTGTGCTTTTGTATTTTGAGAGCTTCTTACTATTTGCTAGACCAGGGGTAGGCAACCTATGGCACGCGAGCTGTTTTTCAGTGGCACTCACACTGCCTGGATCCTGGCCACCGGTCCGGGGGGCTCTGCATTTCAATTTAATTTTAAATGAAGCTTCTTAAACATTTTGAAACCTTATTTACTTTACATACAGCAATAGTTTAGTTATATATTATAGACTTATAGAAAGAGTCCTTCTAAAAGGTTAAAATGTATTACTGGCATGCAAAAGCTTAAATTAGAGTGAATAAATGAAGACTTGGCACACCACTTCTGAAAGGTTGCCGTCCCCTGTGCTAGACCATTCCTTATTCCTTCATAAATGTAGGCTTGGATATGCTAGAAATTTCATCAACTTGAATCTTGCCATATGTCACCAGAAGTAATGCTTGAACAATTACTATACTTTCTACAGTCCTGTTTTTTGTTTTGTTTTTCAGGAATATTTTGGGAAAGCGATTATCTTTCTCTTGGGCTAACTTCCAGCAGGGACCATAAACTATTTAAGGGCAACCAGCTTTAATGATAATGAACTAGACATTTTGTCTGCTGCTAGCCAGCTGCCTCAAAAATCAGTGCTGGTCAAATAAGTTCTCTGAAAAAATTGTTCCTGCTGAAATTTAGTGCCTTAACAAAATTAGACATCAATTCATAGCATGACAATATGTTTGTTATGTGCAGACCTAAGCAAGGTGCTATGAACGGAATAATAATCTTATCTAGGTTTTCATACTGTGCTCATCACTCTATTATCTGAGTACCTTACAATTTCAACCAAATGATCACAAAGGGAGAATTTTGTTTCCTTATTGCAGACTTTTGGATTATATTGCTTTTGGCAGAGGAGATGATAAGCAGAGAGATTGGTATGAAGGAAGCATGAGCAGGGACTTTGGGGGGGCGGAATAGAAGAGTTGGTTTCTATTCTTGTTTCTGTCTGTAACTTCAGCTAAATCTCTCAGTGAATCAGTTTACCTAGCCATAAAATGAGTATAAAACCTCTGTCATGGGGTGCCTTGAAGATTACTTACTGTTTTTAAAGCATTTTTATATCACTGGATGAATGGCACTATAGAAGTGCGCAGTATTATGAGTAAAGTATATTGCCAGATCTTCCAGACCCTTTGAATAACTATGAAAGAACTAGATTATGTTTTCTTAGGTACTTGTGACTAAATTAGAAAAAAAGTCTTATTCATAGAGGAAAAACTTGGTGAAACATTCACTAATATAAGGTTTTTCAGATGTTAAACATAGGCAGCATGAGTGAGGCGTTGATTTGAATGCTGGGAATTCAACAGAGCCTCCAGTGGAGAAAGACTTTTTACAACATAATTCCTATAGTCTCAACTACTCAGTCATTATTAAAATTATTTTACAACTTCTTTACTGAAAGGGAAAAGGGGTAACTGAGTGTGGCTTATCACCCATTTCACACAAAGCGCTCTGATATTACGTTACATCTGTTCTCGGCAGCAGAATAGCCGGCATCTTAAGAGACCTATGTGGAATGAGCTGGTGGCCTTAGTCCTTTTCCTAGTGCACATGACCACATCAGCCACCCCTTGCTGGCATGAACTGGGATTGTTGTTACCAGAGTGATCAGACAGGCCAAGGACTGAGTTGGCAAGAAAGACTGAGTTATTTTCTAACCCCTCTAGATTAGGGTTGAGGCATCTCACCCGAGTCTTGTCCCTGGAGAAGTGTGAGACCGCTTGAATGGCTGCTGCTTGTGCTTTGCCATTTAGTGTTGTTAGAACTCCATAACGTCAAGTGAGATTTGAGAACTAGACCCCAAAACAAACAAATAAAAACTTTTACAAGTACTAAAACGTGGGTGGTCATCATGGCTGCATAAAGAAACCACATGTCCATCAGTTTCCAGGGGGAAAGAAATGACCAATGTTAGTAGCATATATCTATGCTTGGGTTGTCTAAGTCAGGATGATGAACATGGGTTTGAAAGGTCTTGCTTTATTACTGTAACACTTCACTCTATGCTTTCCAGAAAATTGTCCAAATTACTAGGCAAGTGTTTATCTAGCTTTCTGAATGTTTCTGACAGCACTCCAGATGGCAGTCTGCCTTTGAAGCTTAAAACACCCTGGACCAAGACTAGCATGTGGAAAAGATTTTAACTTATGTTGATCAAAATAGAGAGGCTTTCACAATGAGTGAACCTGGGAAAGGGGGGAACTCAGAGGAATTGCTGGATAGTTAGATGAAAGTTACCAATTGCATGATTTCAGTATTTGGGTGAGGCAAGAAATACTCAATGTTTTTGGATGCTTTATCTTCCCAATCATTTGAATAATATAACTGTTAAAGCCCAAAACTTTTTTTTTGCATATTTTCAGACAAAAATACAAAATAATGTTCATGTTCTTATAACATGCCCATCACCATAGTATCTGAGTGCCTGAAAGCAGAAATATTCTTTACATATAACAAATATTGATAGATTTAAGCAGATTGAGAGAGATGTAACCCAGGCAATAAGGACACTAGTTTTAGCAGTGACCTTAGGTACATGGGGTCAGTTCATTGCACAAAACAGAAGGAAGAATTTGTTTTACTCTGCAATGTCTTTCTGCAAGAAGGTAGTTTTATTAAGTATCCATTTCTTAAGTGCCCTTCATAATAGTATCTAAGTGCTCTCTATAAATCTTGAGTCTGAGGAATATTCATAAATGCAGTAGCTTCAGCTTCATATCTACACTGCAAATGTTAGAGGCTGCTGCTCTGGCTTAATTGAAGCATTTTATTGCTATGTCTTCAATTTTACACCTCCGCTCTAAGACGGTTTTTGAAGATTCTTCCCCTGCTACTTTCCCACTCTTAGACAACAATAAAAACAACATCTGCATTAGTCAAGCATGGGGCTTACACTTAAGTAAATAAATCAATGTTTATAAGCACCTAATAGAAGTGGCCTGATTTTTCAGAGGTGCTGAAACTCATGGATCTCAGTGCTTTTAATGGGAGCTGTGGTATGGTGCCTCTGAAAATCAGGCCACTGATGTAGGCACCAAAATGTGGTTTTCGGTGCTTAACTTTTGGCAAGCAGGTTTGAAAATTTTGGCCATCATGCTTTGAAGAGTCAGTTTAAATGGTCATTGTGTTCTGGTTCTAACGTGTATCCCATCTGGCTTATTCTCCACACCCACACACCCAGCATAAGGCACAAAACCCAGAGGAGTTCAGGAGAAGACCGGGCCAGGCCATTTGGCTGAGGACTGGTGGAGTTTGCATGGTACTGGCACTTGGCATTGAGATCCCAGACCCCCCGCCAGCCATCCTTTTCTGCGTGTTTGTTTTTCCCCTAGGAGAGGAGCGTTTAACTGTAGCATTTACTTTGAAGTAGATGCTGGAGACACACATTTAGTCCTTGGACCACCTGGATCATGTGGACTAAAAATAACTCTCAAACAGTTTATCCAGGCTGACTTCATTTGGAGTAGGGGTTGCTCTCAAGGTGGGAGGCTCGGATTGAGGAAGACTCAATACTGAATTTGTACTGAGAAGGTTGGTTGCAAATGTAAATGTCTGAAACACGGGGATAAAGCCTCCATAAGAACGGCCCCACTAGGACAGACCAAAGGTCCATCTAACCCAGTATCCTGTCCACCGACAGTGGCCAATGCCAGGTGCCCCAGCGGGAATGAACAGAACAGGTAATAATCAAGTCAAGGGATCCATTTAACATAAGAACATAAGAAAGGCCATACCGTCTCAGACCAAAGGTCCATCTAGCCCAGTATCCTGTCTACCGACAGTGGCCAACGCCAGGTGCCCCAGAGGGAGTGGACCTAACAGGCAATGATCAAGTGATCTTTCTCCTGCCATCCATCTCCATCCTCTGGCAAACAGAGGCTAGGTACATCATTCCTTACCCATCCTGGCTAATAGCCATTAATGGACTTAACCATCATGAATTTATCCAGTTCTCTTTTAAACGCTGTTATAGTCCTAGCCTTCACAACCTCCTCAGGCAAGGAGTTCCACAGGTTGACTGTGCGCTGCGTGAAGAAGAACTTCCTTGTATTTGTTTTAAACCTGCTGCCTATTAATTTCATTTGGTGACCCCTAGTTCTTGTATTATGGGAATAAGTAAATAACTTTTCCTTATTCACTTTCTCCACATCACTCAGGATTTTATTTACCTCTATCATATCCCCCCTTAGTCTCCCCTTTTCCAAGCTGAAGAGTCCTAGCCTCTTTAATCTCTCCTCATTTGCCGGCCACTGCCAGCTTCTGGCAGGCAAAGGCTGGGGACACCATCCTGGCTAATAGCCATTGCTGGACCCATCCTCCATGAATTTATCTAGTTCCTTTTTGAACCCTGTTATAGTCCATAAGGAGTGAGAAAGTTAAACTACTTTGTCTCTGCTTGAATCCAGCTTCTGCCCCTGCGGTTCTGAGCCCCGCCTGGCCCAGTTGTGCTGAAATAGGCAGCGTCGGGCTAATAAGCTGCCCGGCCGCTTAGGGGCTGGGTGTGGGATCCAGCTTGTCCTAAGGGGGTCGGTGCACGGGCCAGCAAACTCTTCGGGGCTCGCTCTGTTCGCCGAGCTCGCGCTTCCTGTCCGCTGTCCCGCTGCAGAGTCGTGAACCTCCCTCCCCCGCCCCGGCAGATCCCTGGGAGGGCGTCCCCGCTTGGGCTTCCCGTCTCCATCCCGCGCCCCACGGCGCTTCCCGCTGCTTCGCCCGGCCAGGGGAGCGCCGCGCCGCGTAGCGCCGCGCTGCGGGGGCGTTGACAGGGCGATGCCAGTCAGCCACGGGGAGGCGCGCCCTGAGCCCGGGCGCGGGACTAGCTCCCCTCGGCCCGGGCGCGTCCCACAGGGCGGCTGCTGCTGAGCCAGGCTCCGCGGGAGAGACGCGCAGATGTCTGGCCACGAGAGGTGTCCTTCCCTTCAGGTAAGGGCTTCCCCAGGGGCCAGGCCCACAGCCCGGCCCCCTCCTCGCCCCTGGACTTGGGCTCCTGTCGGGCGCCTGGCGGGGTTTGCAGACCATTGCTCTTGACAGGGCAGTGGGTGGCGGGGATGCGTCTGCTCCCCTTCGCTTGGATCCTGCGCTGAGCGCTGGAAACGGGCTCAGCTTGAATCCTTGCCTGCTCCTGCCCTTCGGCTGTGGTGTGGATGGCAGCAGCTCCCCAGCTCCGGCAGGATCCGTGTCCTGCCGGTCAGCAGCCCCCGGGCTTGCGACAGTGTGGTGGGCTGGCTGGCTCGGTGCATACTCTTAACAGGGACGTGCCATTCCTGCAGCAGTTTCCCCAGGCAGAAGGGACCCGGTTCCTACACACAACTACCTAAACGCTGGTTGTTTCTTCTCGGTTCTCTTCCCTGGGGCTCCAGGCTGCCTTTTTCAGCCAATGGGACAGATCCTGCCTTCAGCGGCACCGGTGCAACCTCATTCATTTCTGTGGGATTGTAGCAGTGTAACTGTCAAGAGAATTGTCAATAATGCACACTTCTACAGACCTTTACTTCTTCATAGTAATGAATTTTAATTAAACCAATACTTTCAGTCATCTTTAAAAAATTTCACATGAAAATATTTCCAATAATTTGATGCAAACAATCATATTGACTTTTTTTTGTATTCCCTTGGCTAATGTTTGTGCTAGTTAAAAATATAACACACTGCATTTCTCTAACACCTTTTTCCCAACCTCAGTTAGCCTCCCTACCTTAAAAAAAACAAAAAACAAAAAACAAAACACTTCTTTTTCACACATATACAGCTGTGCCCTCAAGTACAAAAGTTCCTTACAGCAATGGGACCTGCAGAAAAATGTGAGAATGCAGCTATTTGTGGTTAAAATATTTTAATGTTACAGCATAGAAAAGATAATCAGGAAATTTAGTGTTAGCCCAGCTAGTCCTAACTTCTGCTGACCAACAAATCTCAATACATACAATATTTGTACCACTTTTTATCCTTCATCCTTTATCCATTGGGTCTTCTTTGAAAATGTGTTATGAGAAGTGCTCTGATATGTACCTGTTTAGTCACTGAGAAGCTTCGATAACCCTGCTAGTTGAAAATTTATTACTAGCCTACATGGAAATGCACCAAAGGCAAAACAAGATTTCCTCTACAGTTGGACTCTTGTTTTTACTGAGTATCGCCTCTCATTTAAACCTCTCATTTAAACCTCCCGAGACTCAGGAGATCTGTGTTCAAGTTCTGTCAGAGGCTTCTTATGAAACCTTGGGCAACTCACGTAGGTCTAGATCCTCAAAAATACTTAGGCTCCTAACTTCCATTGGAATCAATAGAAATTAGGAGCCTAAACACCTTTGAGGATTTGATCTGAATCTCTGTACTTTAAATCTCCATCTGTGAAACTGACATACTTCCCAAAGTGTTGTGAAGATCTTCATTAATGTCTGTGAGATGACCAGATACTTCCGTGAAGGGAACCATAGAAGTACCTAGATTGATAAATATGTAGATGTTAACACACAGCACTAGTTAACTTGTCCTCACATGACATTATAGACATATTGCCTGTCTACATTTACTGGCAATTCTGGGTCTCTGTTTTCCTCCATCTCCAGAGTCTCAGACTGCCTGCTTACAGAGTCACTCTGAAGGTCAGTAAGCCCCAAATTTGATCTGATTGTTTTTTCTTATCCATTTGCAAAGTCCACATATTAGGGTGACCAGATGTCCTGATTTTATAGGGACAGTCCTGATATTTGGGGCTTTGTCTTATATAGGCACCTATTACCCCCCACCCCTGTCCCGATTTGTCACATTTGCTGTCTGGTCATCCTACCACATATTGTTATGTTTACAGAATACATGATGGTGTATAGTAGCACAAAGGCTCTATTGGCATGGATTTGGGCTAAGTTATGGGGGTTGTCCAGAAACAGTACTCATCAGAACTCTATACCCCCACATGTGTTGTTTGTTTTTAAAAGTGTCCTTTTTAGTTCAACATTAATTTTATTGGTACTACTTTTTTCTTATTCTTTTGCCTAAAATGTGTCAATGTTTCCTTATGCTCCCCCACGGCCAGCTCCAGGCAACAGCTAAGGAAGCAGGTGCTTGGGGCAGCCAATACAAAGGAGCGGCACCTCCTGGTCTTCGGCGAGAATTTGGCGGCAGGTCCCTCAGTCCCTCTCTTCTTCTTTGAGCTGCCGCTGAAGTGCTGCCGAAGAGGAAGAGAGGGAGCGAAGAACCTGCCGCCAAATTGCCGCTGAAGAATCAAGTGGTGCGATTATCAAGTGGCGCGATAGAGCTCCGCCGATCAGTTTTTGTTTTTTTTTGGCTGCGTGGAGCGGCAGAAAAGCTGGAGCTGGCCCTGTGCTAGTGTTCTATTCCAAGCTGTTTAGATACCATCTTTTTTGTTACATGGCCAGAACAGTGGGGCCCCAATCCATGACTGGAATCCCTAGGTGCTACTGTAATACAAGTAATAAAAATAATTAATATAAATTCCAATATCCTTAGTTACAATGTACAGCCTTGGAATAAAAAAGGGGGAAAAAGAATAATACATTTTAGAAACCTCAAAAACTATTGAAAATACTGTCCTGTACAGTTCAATATAACTAAAAATTCACATAAAAAATAAAATCACTAGAAAGCCTAGAAATCATGGATCCATAGATTCTAAGTGATCACTGTGATCATCTAGTCTGACCTTCTGTGTAATACAAGCCATAGAACTTCCCCAAGATAATTCCTACAGCATATCTTGTAGAAAAACATCTTATCTTGATTGAAATCATTTTTCCATTTTCCTCTACGTGTTTCTAATGTTTGTGGTTTGTGATTGTTCAGACTCTGGACCAGATTCTCAGTTGGTATAAATCAGTGTAGCTCAACTGATTTCAGAAAAACATCACTAATGAGTGGAGTCCAGGAAGAATTAAATAGCACAGAAAAGATTTTAAAAGGGAAAGAAAAGAAATCCATAAGGGTAAAAGCTTGGATGCTTGAATTCCATCTCTGATGCCACTAAAGGCAATACAGTATATTTAATTTTTGACATTCATTATTTATTCTTGCTTGGAAGTTCTTCCAAATCCCTTGATATATAGTAAACTATCATTCATTCCTCACAGCAGTCCTTCAAAGGAAATCTCATCCATCCATGTGATCTCTAAACTAGTTATAGACGTCCTGAGGCTGAAGGTTGCTGGCTACTTGCTATACGGTGCTGAGCACCCTAGCCATACTGATGTCAATAAGAGCTCAGCACTTGGTGAGATTAGGCCCCAAATGGTGGAAGCAGATGTTACCATCTTTTAGTAATATCTTTCTTACACATGGCATTTCTAGTGTCATCAATGTCTTTCAACTGAAGATAAGACTTCTAATTTGAATAAAACCACATACAATAACAGTGCAAAATTGTCTTGCTCATACGTACAACACTGATCAGCTTTTGATGAAATATGATGCCACCTAGACTACTCTGTTTATAATAATGAGTTGGGGGATTATATTAGAAGATCTGAAATTCACAGCAGGTGTTAACCCTTAGGAAATCAGCTAATCCTAAAGGCAGTTAAAGAAATAGTGGTTAAAAATGATTAATCACCTTTCCTGAAGTACAGATAATACAGATAAGTAGAACTAAGAGACTTTAAAAACTATTATTTTCTTTTCACTATTTATACTGTTTGCATTCTTTTCATGTTGGGCAATATAAAGGAACTTGCCAGCCAGTTTCATACTTGTGCTGATATAGAGTTTCTGGCTGATTTCACTCACAAGTTCTCAAGCACTAGTAAGATGCTTCAATGTTTAGGTTGCAAAGACTGCTGAAGAATGTTTATTAACGAACAAACATTAAGGACACTGTTTTTCACCGGATTTAAAAAAAATCCTGGCAACATTTCTGTGGGTTTTAGATTTTGTAAAACTTTATTTTCCCTGACCATTTTTATTTTTTTCCTGACAGTGTCCCTGTAAAAACTGGCCAGTTTCCTGATGAGTTGCTAGGGGGCACTATTGTGTGAATGAAAGAGCTGCTGCGGAGGAGAGGCCTAATCATGAGTCTTGAGAGGAGCCAGTCCAGACTTGACTCTATTCACTTGCCTGTCTCTGGAACCCCTCACATCCTCCAAGCCTGTCTGCCCAACGTGCCACTCCTCTGCCCGCTTCTTGGTCCCACCCTGCTCCTGAGGCCAAGAAGTTGCTGAGGACAGGGAGGCACTGGCATAGTGTCAGCATCACGTCTGAGCAGAGAAGCAGGAGGGAAGTGGCTGATAGCTCAGGTGAGATGAATGGATCTCTTTGTCTATTGCAGAGGAGGGGTGGGGTTTCAAAGCTTCTCAGGGTGAGTAGAGGGGATCAAGAGAAGATTGGGGATCTGAGAGGGAGGAGAAGGGTGAGCACTTGGTGTTGGGAGAAGTGTGGGAGCCACCAATACTGCTGCTCCCCCCCCTTACCACTGTAGTGGGTCAGAATTGTGAGAGTGGAAAGCTGTTGCTTTAAGTCAAGTTCATTTTATAACCTTATTGAACTAAATCCTCAAGTAGTGTTCATTAAGTATCTGGTTAATTATTGAAGGCCCTTTATTAAGGGAAGTGTAGTATATAATCTGCTTTATGTGAAGCCTTATGTTCCTTTACAAAGAGGGAATATTTGCTGCATAATATAATGATTCACCTACAGAAGCTTGTAATGAACAGGTATTTGTGCCATCACACTGGCTCTTGGATCTTTGACAGTTGCTGTAAAAACAGATCTGGAAATTAAAGGAATCCACTGGGTGGTAAAGAGTTTTCTATCTGTTTTGTATAAAATCAGTAGAGTCAGCAGCATTACTGTGAAACAAGAGTCCTGTAATTTTAAGTGTGTGGGAAAACTCATTTGAATAGGTGCAAACGGTCTATGTACATTTAGCAGGCTGTGTCCCATAAGTCCACTTGACTTAAATATACTAGTCTGTCAATATTTGCACCAGGCTGAGAGGGGAGAAAAAGATGCAGTGAGCAATAAGGGGAGAGGATTGAGGAATGCATATGGAGCCAGAGAGGGAACAGGAAGAAATGAGAGCAGAGATGTAAATAGGTGTAGGATTGAAACTGAAACTCAGAACTTGAAATGTGAGACTGCAAGCTCTTCACTACACTGAGTTTTTAGCAGTTTTCTCAGTTGGTCACCAACTACTGATGCTCCAGCAGTGTTAGCAAAGGTGAGAACGCTAGTATAGACCGCATGCAAACATTTTAATCACTATATTGAAGCCTTCTCTGAGCAGATCTGGACAAATCAGTGTAAGCACGCTGGCACTTGATCTACACTAGTGCTTCCACCAGTTGAGCAGCATTGGTACTATGCCAATGGTGGGAGAATTTCTAAAATTCTCCATGTAGGTACAGCTTAAAACAGTAGCTCTGAACCTTTCCAGACTACTGTACCCCTTTCAAGAGTCTGATTTGTCTTCCATACCCCCAAGTTTCACCTAACTGAAAAACTACTTGCTTACAAAAGTTAGACATAAAAATACAAGTGTAAGAGCACACCATTACTGAAAAATTGCTTACTTTCTCATTTTTACCATATAATTATAAAATAAATCCACTGGAATATAAATGTTGTACTTACATTTCAGTGTATAGTATGTAGAGAAATATAAACAAGTCATTGTCTGTATGAAATTTTAGTTTGTACTGACTTCGCTGGTGCTTTTTATGTAGCCTGTGTAAAGCTAGGGAAATATGTAGATGAGTTGCCGTATCCCCTGGAAAACTTCTGCGTGCCCCCAGGGGTACACGTACTCCTATTGAGAATCACTGTCCTAAAAGACTGGAAAGGATTTAAGGAGATGATTTTATCGGGGGAATGTTGAATAGATGAAAAGGGGAAAGGCTTGAAGCGGGAAGGCCAGAGAAGAGAAGGTTGCAATTATTATTCATTATTTGCATTACAGTAGCACCTAAAGTCCCCAAATAACTTTGGGACACTCATTGTGCTAGGTGCTGTGCATATGCTTAGTAAGACAGAATCTTTGCCCTGATAGGTTTATAAGCTAAATAGACAAGATAGGCAAAGGGTGGGACAGGAAACAGGCACAGAAAGATGATAATAATAATACCTACCTCTTATCTAATGATTTTCATCATTAGATCTCAAAGCGCTTTGCACAAGAGGTCAGTATCCACATTTTACAGATGGGGAAACTGAGGCACTCATCACCCCCCCCCCCCCATCCCCAAGACAAACACACACACACACTGGAGTCACTCACAGCCACTCCTCACCTCCGATGCACATCCCCCCCCCCAATACACTGGAGTCACTCACAGCCAATTGTCCTGTTCTGTTCATTCTCTCTGAAGTATATGGCATTGGCCATTGTCAGAAGACAAGATACTGGGCTAGACGGACCTTTGGTTTAACCCAGTATGGCCATCCTTATGTTCTTATGATAGGAAAGGAGGAATTGCCATACAGGACCTATAGTCCACCTCATCTGGTATCTTGTCCCTGATGATGGCCAGTACCACATGTTGCAAAGGGAAGTGCAAGAATACCCATAATAGGCTGTTATGGAATAATCTGCCCATAGGAGAAGTTGTTTCCTAACCTCTGTCAGTTAGCAGTGGATTTATGCCTTGAGGCATAAGGCTTAATTATCACTGTATAATCTGCCTGCTCTCTAATATAACTGTGGATGTTCTCACTACCTATATCAATGTCTAACCCTTTTTAGAATCTTGTTAAGGCCTTGACTCGGTGATGATTACATTCTTCAGACATGTGTGGCTTTATTATCATATTACCTTTTATTTATTGCTTTGCCAAGCTGTACATGCTACTATTAATCAGTCTCTCTGCTGGGTAAGAGAATGTGGAGGAATGATGGACATGGGCAGGGCCGGCTCCAGCATTTCTGCCGCCCAAGCAAAAATTAAAAAAAAAAAAGCCGCGATTGGCGGCGGCAGTTCAGCGGCAGGTCCTTCGCTCCTAGAGGGAGTGAGGGACCTGCCATCCCCAAATTGCCGCAGGTGCTGCCCCTCTCCCTTGGCCGCCCCAAGCACCTGCTTGTTAAGCTGGTGCCTGGAGCCGGCCCTGGACATGGGGAACACAAGAGACAAAACTCCTCTTATGTTCTAGATCAATGACTTTAACAATCTTGTCAATGTTAAATGAACTCACGGTTTTTATGATTACTGACAAATTGAATGGTCTGCATTGTGACCGAGAGACTTAAAACTGTCATCTTTGTGCTCTTCCCCCATCTATTGGTTGTATCTACCTGTTTTCATAGACTCACAGAATTATATTATAAACTCTATTGAGCCAGAAATCATTCTTCATTGTGTTTGTACAGTATCTAGCATAGTGGGGAAGACACCATTATAATGCAAATAATAATAATTGCCTTGCTTTGATGATAGTGCCTTTTGGGAAGGTCTTATCTTTTGGATTGATTGTAACATCCTTTTCAAACAAATTGTTGCTGCTGCTATCATAGTCCTCCTCTACTTATTTTTACTATAAGCTTCATGGAGATTTACTTGATGCACTTTAAAACAAAATTGTGATTACTCTGATCTATATAAGTGGAACGAAAATAAAAACTATGCATTGTAGGACGAATTTTCAAAAATGGCATCTATAATTGTGGCAAAATCAACTGCAGGTGAAACTGACAAAATTTAGACTTAAAATATCTGATATCACCAATAAAATAGATGGGGAAAACGCCAAACCTTAGCACCTTCCCCCTGTGATCAATATCAAGGATCTGCAACCAAATTGTAGATCTAACAGTGATTATTAAATATATTGATAAACCTGAACCAAAAGGGCAGTTTGAGAATCAATGACAGATTTGTATTGATTCATTTTTGTGCTAATGAAGATTCTCTTAAACACAAACAAAACAGTTAACAGAAAGTGAAGTTACTGATGGTTTTATATATGCATGCACTGGAATAAATTGCCTAGGGAGGTTGTGGAATCTCCATTATTGGAGATTTTTAAGAGCAGGTTAGACAAACACCTGTCAGGGATGGTCTAGATCGGGGATCAGCAACCTTTGGCATGCAGCCTGTCAGGAAAATCTGCTGGCGGGCCGGGACATTTTGTTTACCTGCAGCGTCTGCAGGTTCGGCCGATTGCAGCTCCCACTGGCCGTGGTTCTCCATTCCAGGCCAATGGGGGCTGTGGGAAGTGGCGTGGGCTGAGGGATGTGCTGGCTGCCGCTTCCCGCAGCCCCTATTGGCCTGGAACGGCGAACCGCAGCCAGTGGGAGCTGCAATCGGCCGAACCTGCAGATGCTGCAGGTAAACAAACCGTCCCGGCCCTCTAGTGGATTTCCCTGACCGGCCACGTGCCAAAGGTTGCCAATTCCTGGTCTAGATAATACTTACTCCTGCCATGACTGCAGGGAACTGGAGTAGATGACCTCTCAAGGTCCCTTCCAGTCCTATGATCCAATGAACACTAGCAATAATCCCTCAATACCTATGTGTGCAGAGGTCAGAATCCATGTTGTATTCTCAATTTTAACCAATTTGTATTTTATGTTAATTATGTTGCTTTAGCGCAGCGGTTCTCAAACTGTGGGTTGGGACCCCAAAGTGGGTCGGGACCCTATTTTAATGGGGTTGTCAGGGCTGATGTTAGACTTGCTGAGCCCCAATGCCCAGGGCCTAAGAGCAAGGGCTTCGGCCCAGGGAGGCAGGACTTGGGACTTTGGCCCCCACCCTCACCCGAGGCAGCAGGGCTCGGGCAGGCTCAGGCTTTGGTTTCCCCTCTTGGGGTCATGTAGTAATTTTTTTTGTCAGAAGGAGGGTCACGGTGCAATGAAGTTTGAGAACCCCTGCTTTAGTGCATCCAGATCCTTATGTAAAAGCTGACTACAGCAGTCATTGCAATGGGATTGCTATCCAGGCCTTAACAGGTTGGTTGAAAGGGTAAAGCGAAAAGAGAATCTCATTGTTCTGATACAGGAACTGACATTTGGGAGGTGAACTTTGTTATATACTGAATTGTAGCCATGCATGTCTAGGTGCACTGGAGAGATGTAGCTGATTGTAAGGTGGATAGAAGAGGAAATGGAGATATTGTTAAATAATAATGCATTAATTATTTGTCAAAAGTTTTTCAACTAATGCTCAGGTTTTTCTTTTGTGAAGCAAATTCAACAGGGTTCTAATTTTTTTAAGTTTTAATTTTCAGGTGTTCTTGAAAAAAGTGCGTGTGCTTTGGGGGTGGAAAAGGACATGAGGAATAAAAGGACCTGGGAGCCCACTGATCAGAATGAAACAGATGTTGAAAGATTTTTCAAATCTATTGTTAGTTGTGCTCTGTGATTATGGTGAGTATTGTAACTCTAAAAGGAGTATTGTAGATATTTAACTAAAGTCATTTAAAAACGTTAATGTGTAGTGGGGTTAACAGATGATCTGGTGCATTGGGAACATACACAGAATCCATCTCAGGAGTGCCGAGAAATATAGTCTTGGACTTGTGAAAAATTTAAATGACTTAAATAAAGGTTGTATTTGTATCAGAACAGAAAGAGGACCTTCTCCAGCTGTGGATTTGTTCAGAATAAGAAACAGAATATACTGAACAGATTTCCATGGGTATCAGCAAGCAATCCTGGCTGCCATCAGTAACTAACTGAGCAATGTTATATGGCAAACCTTCTATATCACTGTATTTCACATAATTCAAAGGAAGTGGGGGAATGTAGAGCAATGAAATTTTTTTCCAATGCACCTAAGTGATGTAGGAGCCTAAATGCCAGTTTTCAAAAGTAACAGGCACCTAGGTGCTTAAAAAACATTGACTTTTCAGAGAGACATGACTTACTAAGTGTCTAACTCACTTTGAAAATAGGGTTTAAGCTCCTAAATCACTTAGATGTTTTGAAAATGTTATCCCTAACATTTAAATTAAGTGAAGTTGGTATTTTGACTCAGTAAGTTTTCAAGCTCAAGCAAGAAAATTAAGCCATGCATTGCCCAACCTTCATGTACAGCCTTGAAAAGTTTGGAGTCTTGATTTAGTCTGCTTCTATGTATGTGGTGTGGTAACAAGCTTCACACTGGCCAAAAAGATAAAGACCAGGTATAAATGGTGCAACATTCACAGCTATTTGTTCTCAAAATATGTGCGAAAAAAACTGAATTACAAACAGTTATTAAATACTGCACCTGCCCCGTTACAGAAACCCACATCTTTGCTCCCAGCACTATGACAAAAGATCAGTTCTACATTTAACAAGCCTTTCAATTGTAATAGTTTGGGATGTAATCTAGCTCACAGTAGAAATGGGGATGTTTGTTTTTTGTGATGGCATGTAGCTGTCAACTCCCTGTCATTTTAATCAGACAAGTTTAACTCGAAATACAAACTTAACAATACAGTATTGAATGAGAGACACAGTGAAGGTAAATGATTAATCCACATATGTCTGGGTGAAATGAAATATTACAATGTCTACAACTTTTGAGGGGACAACCATGCATACAAACATTACCTAGTTAACCCACAAACGTAAAAGCCATGATTCCCACACTAAATGGAATTTTGTTCAATCAGTCTAATTACAAGGGGAGGCTAGGGATGCTAAATCCTCATGATAACATTTTTATCACTTTAGCTCTTGTAGTGACAATATTTCTAATATAAAGAGTACTCCATGGTCCAGAAAATAACTGCCAAACAATTTTGTATATACACTCATTTGATTTATGGTCACACACATCTGCTTTTACCCATCTTTTCACCCATCTGTTTCCTTCCCATCTCTGTACGTCAGAAGTACATACTAAAAATACCTGTATAATCTGGAAAATTACCTTGCAGTAAAATACAATATTCTTCTTAAACCTTATCATCATTACTAAGATATACACTTTTTAAAAATCTGACTGCCAGTAAAATACTGATAGCTGAGAAGCCTAGTTGGATTTAACCATAATTAAAAAAAAATAGAATAATGCCCAGAAATACAAAATTATTTTCACTTTTAGGAGAAAAAACTCTGATTGCAATAGCAGCCAATTCTTGCAGTAACCACACTGGCAGGTCACTGGCATCACAACCAGGACCCACAAAAGGCTGAAAACAACCCAAGGCAGGCTATCCATACTCTTGGGACCAATTTCTGGCTAGTGATGCACCCACATTCATACCAGAAAGCAGCAGCAGTATGCAATGGAAATTGGCTGCCCATATTCTGACCCTTCCGAAAGTCATAAGAACATAGGAACGGCCGTACTGGGTCAGTACGGCCATCTAGCCCAGTATCCTGTCTACCGACAGTGGCCAATGCCAGGTGCTCCAGAGGGAGTGGACCAACAGGCAATGATCAAGTGATCTCTCTCCTGCCATCCATCTCCATCCTCTGACAAACAGAGGCTAGGGACACCATTCCTTACCCATCCTGGCTAATATCCATTAATGGACTTAACCACCATGAATTTATCCAGTTCTCTTTTAAATACTGTTATGATCCTAGCCTTCACAACCTCCTCAGGTAAGGAGTTCCACAAGTTGACTGTGCGCCGCGTGAAGAAGAACTTCCTTGTATTTGTTTTAAACCTGCTGCCTATTAATTTCATTTGGTGACCCCTAGTTCTTGTATTATGGGAATAAGTAAATAACTTTTCCTTATCCACTTTCTCCACATCACTCATGATTTTATATACCTCTATCATATCCCCCCTTAGTCTCCTAGCTGAAGAGTCCTAGCCTCTTTAATCTCTCCTCATATGGGACCCGTTCCAAACCCCTAATCATTTTAGTTGCCCTTTTCTGAACCTTTTCTAGTGCCAGTATATCTTTTTTGAGATGAGGAGACCACATCTGTACGCAGTATTCGAGATGTGGGCGTACCATCAATTTATATAAGGACAATAATATATTCTCAGTCTTATTCTCTATCCCCTTTTTAATGATCCCTAACATCCTGTTTGCTTTTTTGACTGCCTCTGCACACTGCGCAGACATCTTCAAAGAACTATCCACGATGACTCCAAGATCTTTTTCCTGACTTGTTGTAGCTAAATTAGCCCCCATCATATTGTATGTATAGTTGGGGTTATTTTTTCCAATGTGCATTACTTTACATTTATCCACATTAAATTTCATTTGCCATTTTGTTGCCCAATCACTTAGCTTTGTGAGATCTTGTTGAAATTCATCACAGTCTGCTTTGGTCTTAACTATCTTGAGCAGTTTAGTATCATCTGCAAACTTTGCCACCTCACTGTTTACCCCTTTCTACAGATCATTTATAAATAAATTGAATAGGATTGGTCCGAGGACTGACCCTTGGGGAACACCACTAGTTCCCCCTCTCCATTCTGAGAATTTACCATTAATTCCTACCCTTTGTTCCCGGTCTTTTAACCAGTTCTCAATCCATGAAAGGACCTTCCCTTTTATCCCATGACAACTTACTTTACTTAAGAGCCTTTGGTGAGCAACCTTGTCAAAGGCTTTCTGGAAATCTAAGTACACTATGTCCACTAGATCCCCCTTGTCCACATGTTTGTTGACCCCTTCAAAGAATTCTAATAGATTAGTAAGACACGATTTCCCTTTACAGAAACCATGTTGACTATTGCTCAACAGTTTATGTTTTTCTATGTGTCTGACAATTTTATTCTTAACTATTGTTTCGACTAATTTGCCCGGTACCGACGTTAGACTTACCGGTCTGTAATTGCCGGGATCACCTCTAGAGCCCTTTTTAAATATTGGCGTTACATTAGGTAACTTCCAGTCATTGGGTACAGAAGCCGATTTAAAGGACAGGTTACAAACCTTAGTTAATAGTTCCACAACTTCACATTTGAGTTCTTTCAAGAACTCTTGGGTGAATGCCATCTGGTCCCGGTGACTTGTTAACGTTAAGTTTATCAATTAATTCCAAAACCTCCTCTAGTGACACTTCAATCTGTGACAGTTCCTCAGATTTGTCACCTACAAAAGTCGGCTCAGGTTTGGGAATCTCCCTAACATCCTCAGCCATGAAGACTGAAGCAAAGAATCCATGTAGTTTCTCCGCAATGACTTTATCGTCTTTAAGCGCTCCTTTTGTATCTCGATCATCAAGGGCCCCACTGGTTGTTTAGCAGGCTTCCTGCTTCTGATATACTTAAAAAACATTTTGTTATTACCTTTGGAGTTTTTGGCTAGCTGTTCTTCAAACTCCTCTTTGGCTTTTCTTATTACATTTTTGCACTTAATTTGGCAGTGTTTATGCTCCTTTCTATTTGCCTCATTAGGATTTGACTTCCACTTTTTAAAGGAAGTCTTTTTATCTCTCATTGCTTCTTTTACATGGTTGTTAAGCCACGGTGGCTCTTTTTTAGTTCTTTTACTGTGTTTCTTAATTTGGGGTATACATTGAAGTTGGGCCTCTATTATGGTGTCTTTAAAAAGCTCCCATGCAGCTTGCAGGGATTTCACTTTAGTCACTGTACTTTTTAACTTCTGTTTAACTAACCCCCTCATTTTTGCATTGTTCCCCCTTTTAAAATTAAATGCCACAGTGTTGGGCTGTTGAGATGTTCTTCCCACCACAGGGATGTTGAATGCTATTGTATTATGGTCACTATTTCCAAGCGGTCCTGTTATAGTTACCTCTTGGACCAGCTCCTGCACTCCACTCAGGACTAAATCTAGAGTTGCCTCTCCCCTTGTGGGTTCCCGTACCAGCTGCTCCATGAAGCAGTCATTTAAAGTATTGAGAAATTTTATCTCTGCATTTCGTCCTGAACTGAAATGTTCCCAGTCAATATGGGGATAATTGAAATTATTATTGGGTTAGTGGGGGCTCTGTCAGTGTATGACCAGAATATTCCTATTCTTATACAAAGATAGGGAAAGGACACTGTGGGCTAGTCTCGGTCAAAGTGACCAACCCAATGACAGCTGCCCCCAGTAAAAGCAGAGTGGGTGCCAAGCTCTGAAGGCAGCAGCATCGCCAGCAGCAGCATAGAAGTGTGGGTGGCATAGCGGCGGCACTGCCTTCAAAGCTGGGTGCTCAGGCAGCAGCCACTGCTCTCCTGCCATCCAGCTTCAGGCAGTGCCGCCACCAGCAGCAGCGGAGCAGTAAGGATGGCAATACCATGGCAATACCCCCTAATATGCTTGTGATCCCCTTTTGGGCCGGGGCCCCAAGTTTGAGAAATGCTGCGGAGAAATCACACATTTTTCGTGGGTTGGTCATGGCATGAAATAACAAATTTCACGGATGTGTAACACATTCACAAAATTTGCTATTTATGCTGTGATCAACTCACAAAAAATGTGTCATTTCTCCACAATTTAAGTTGCCCCCTAATTATGATACAG